GAAATTTTATAATTTTGTACGAATTTGGAAAAGAAAATAGTTATGTTTTTAGGCCATTACCACATGTTGTCTGCTGTTTTTGTCAATAGTTCAGTCTAATTATTAGGTTTTGCTTGATTTTAGATAACAGAAAATAGTCATGCTACTTATGTCTAGCAATGAAACAATAGTAACAGACTGCTTATTTGTCAGTGCATAGATATTGGATGCTGAATAGACCGAAAGGACAAAAAACAAGCACATGCATTTCAATGAAGAGACTTTGACCATCAGGCCTGCTTTAGCTCTCTGTGTTTGTGGAAATGCAAATGATAATTGACAGTAATTCACAGTGCCATGTTTGCTTTGAATGTTTGCTGCTATTTGCTTAACAGCTTTTCCTAAAGGCTAACTTAGAAATGAGTTTCAGATATTTTTATTATCTGTTTAATTAATATGTTTAGGCTTAAAGGTGTTTTAACACTTTTTGTAATTTGATATACCTTATGTTATTTAATAACTTAGTAAATTGTAAGTTGGCTCCAGTAGTGCACAGCAAGACTGAAATTACTAAAAGAGTCTGCTGAGAATTTTCTTTTTTTATTTATTTTGAGCTGAGACTCCTTCAGTCTTCCTTTGACTGTCTTTGGGATGTTAAAGTTGAATAATTTCCCAGCTGACTTCTGTAAATCATCATATCGTCTGACCTTTAAACCTCAAAAAGTTACCCGCTTCTGTTAATCCATGAGAAATGTGACTGAATTCAATCATTTGCTTAAGACTGTCACAGGACAGTGATTCTTTTCATATAGAAAAGTCAAAACAGTACAAGACTTACAAAACTTGTTTTTACTCAGAAATTATTACATTTATCAAGTAAATAAAGCATGATATTTAAAAGTAGAAATTAAAATTGTTTACTTTTAGTCTGTTTTATTTACAACGTCTCGTTTTACATCATACATTATTTTTTAATTAGTTCATGTCCACCTTCTTCCAGAAGATTCCAACTTAATTCCAATGCAATTTTGGTTCATTTAAAATGGTAAGGTTTTCATATCCATCTTCTTCATCTTCTTTATATTATTTTTAAGGTGATAAAAAGGTGATAAATAATATGAAAAAGTATACAAGAGACAAATTCTTTCAGTTTCTAGATGCAGGTTTTTGAAAATACTGTCATTTAAAATTGTCAATTGCAAAAAAAAATAAAATGTCATTTTTGAAAACATGAAAAACTACAAGTCAGATTACAGCATCATATGTGTGCTCGGGATCCATGCAAAGTAAATGACTAGTGAAAATAAGGGTTAAAGGGAATTTTGTTTTTCTTTTTTAGTAAATTGATGTCTTGTTAATATTGGAAGTGATGCCAAATCTTAATATTCCTGTTCATAAACACTTTTAATAAAGCCAAGCTGTATATTACTACCATATGTACTTATAGTTAGCATTGTTTTTGCAGAAACGATCAAGCATTTTGGGTTATTTATTGCTTACTAAAATTATAATTATTTTTATTTCGTGCTTTTACATTTTTGAAAATGCTTATTATTCTATAAATTGAGCAAACAGTGGCTTGATTTACCAGAAGTTACACTTTAATGTAAGTTACATGCTAAATTATTGCTGCACTATGCTTACTATTAAGGCCAGTGAAAGCCATTCAACTTCCCAGTACTGGGTTGTGGCTGGAAGAGCATCCGCTGCATAAAACATTTACTGGAATAGTTGGTGGTTCATTCCGCTGTGGTGACCTCTGAAATAGAGACTAAGCCAAAGGAAAATAAATGAAAGCCATTCAAACCATTGTTCTGGTCCTTTTACATATTTAGAGATCATACGTGTTGATGTATAGCGTCATCCATTTGCAGCTAACCAAAAAGCCTAAAGGGAAAGCGGTACGATTTATAGCAAATGCCTTTGACCCTAATCCAAGTTCGAAAGGCCATAAAATTTGGATTATGATTTTAAAGAATGAGACGGATGGCTAATGTACGGCAATTGTCAGCTCAGACACATGAGTAATTAGGTCAGCAGCCAAGGTAAAGAAACTCCAGGGTAATTGAGTCTGTCCGTTGCTGAGGGACAAAGGCCAATTTGTTCCCTGGCTTGTAGGAATAGCTGTTGGTGACATATCCAGAGTCCTTTCATCAGACTGACTAATGTAATAAGTTCAAATGGTACTTTCTGCTAATGTAGCGTAATGTACTTGAAATTTAAAACGCTGCAATATTTCATAGTGTAGTGTTTAATGTGTTGATTTGATTTCATATCTTGTAGGCACAATCTCCCATAAAGCATCTTACAGTAATCCCACCGTTCATCACTTTTTGTTTGTTTTTGTCAGACTGCTGTAATTATTGTTTGTACGAGTGTCTCACTGCTGTGATTATTTATTGAACAATGGATGTCTATTTATATGACATGAATGAATAAAGTACTCATTAAATCCGGCGTGTGGCGCTCATTTCTGAGTCCTGCGTCTTCTGAAAATAAACACGGATTATGGATGCTGCTTGTTATTTCCTATGTTTGTGGTGAATCATTATTAATAGAGAAAGCAGATCGTGTAATGATTTCACAAAACTATTACCAAGACTTGTCTTCAAATTAATCTAATTGGTGATCACATTTTGCAGGGTTAAAACAGTATTTCGACATTCAAATTGCTGGGAAATTTCATGAGCAAAAAGTAATCTGTAAATATAATTTGCAGACACTAAAGTGATGTACTTAAGCGATATCAAACGTCCCTTTTTATGGGGAAAATAACTTGAAATCTTTCACCCTCATTTAAAACTCCTTTTGCAGAGGAACAAAACAGTGATTCATAATTCAAAAATGAAAATGTAGTGTCAATTTAGTCACTCTCACATCATCTCAACTTTGGTACTTCATAAAATGTAGGTCAAAGGCTACTGTACCAGAGCCATGAGAAAAACAACCAACATAGTAAATCTTTAAAACTGTACAGTTTTTCCCCCCTATTGATCATTTTGCTTCATAAGATCATGGTGTATCTTTAAGAGCCATGAGTATTATATTTGTGTTGCCTGTTCGTGTTTTCTTGACTCTCAAAATATGGAAATGATAAACATATGCCTTAATACATTATTAATGTATTTTAATGTGTAATATATAGAAAAACCCTAACTGATTTTTTTTAAGAGTTTGAGTTATGGGGCCATCATTGTTTTCCAATGACATTAAACCGTGATGCTTCTCTGTTTATATATTATAAATATAAAGACTGGGAATACAAATTACTGATACAATGCCACATAGTTTGGCTTAAGCTTGTCATTTTAAGACAAACAACCACAAAAAAGAGAAGCAATATATGTTTCCCTGCTTTCCTAGCGATAAGACGAAAGAAACGAATGAGATGATGACTGATGCTGATAAGCATGCTTCAGCTTGTTTATTGTCTAGCATTTCTCTTCTCTGCCTTTTCTTAACGTGGATTTCACATGATATCTGGAAACATTTACAATTATACCAATAATCATTATAACATTATCAAAAAGTCAACAGCAGTGATGATCAACATTCCTGAATTTGGCATTGTTTCAGCATTTTACTTTTCAAGTTGAGTTACCACCTGCATCCATTTAATGTCACACACCATGCACCTAAAATAACAGTGCCCCCATAGACTATAACAAATGTGGATTCATTTAAACAGTGTAAATCTTTCTATTGGGTTTCTAATTCGTAGTTTTCGTTAAGAGACATAATTTATGTTTTATTAAACCATGCAAGTGTTAATATCTGGGATATCCTTTATGACAATGGGCCTTATTTTACATCTGGCGCATGACACAATTGTTTTTTGATAGTTTTAACCCCGCACAAGTATAATTTTTTGTGTGTCCTGTGACACATTGTTTAAATAGCAGGTGCATTTAATATCGCATTGCTATTTTGAGGCAACTGAATCAGATCATGCCACTGACCAACTAAAAGCTGGCCTTAAGTCATTGCTACAGTTTTCTTTTCCTCGTTTTTAAGGTACTTAATGAGCGCATTGGTAATATGCCATTAAATCCACAATGAGCATACGCATTGCTTATTACACACAGGGATGCGCAGCAGCACACAAACATCTTTAAATAATAAAACATTTAGGAAATGTGAAAGATCACATAAATGTCTACATAAATATAACAAATGCTTCCTCCCCCATGCCTTCCCTACCTCAGGGGGCTTTGATGGAATCCAGCACAATAAGTTGATGATTTCCTAAATAGTGATGCATTCAGTTTTTCCTCTTACAAAGTCCACCATGTAAACAGAGAATGCAACATAGTGTTACAGCAACTCACTTTTCAGTAATTGGGAGATGAGACTCTGATTGGTTCATGTTATGCCCTAAGAGAATAGGGACAATCCTTTTAGACTACTGCAGAAGTGTATTTAGACACTCCCTGAGTGCACCTGTGCCTTGAGTTTCAGACGACTGAAACGACTAAATTGATTAAATAGACCCCAATGTCTTTTACTTTGTGAAGAGCTGATGTTGGCGGCAAGGTGGCTTAGTGGTTAGCACTGTCACCTCACAGCAAGAGATCGCTGGTTCAGGACCCGGCTGGGCCAGTTGGCATTTCTGTGTGGAGTTTGCAAATAGTTCGCTCTGGGTGCTTCGATTTCCCCCATAGTCCAAAGACATGCGCTATAGGTGAATTGAATAAACTAAATTGGCCATAGTGTATGACTTTGTGTAGGAATGGGTGTTACCCAGTACTGGGTTGTGACTGGAAGGGAATCCGCTGCATAAAACATTTGCTGGAATAGTTGGCAGTTCATTCCGCCGTGGCTGCCTCTGATGAAGACTTAGCCGAAGGAAAATAAATAAATGAATGAGGAGCTGATGTTTTGCTTCTTGTGTGCTTCAGCTTGTTGCTTATCCTGATCCTTGCTGTTAGTATTTCTCCACTAAACATCTCTGGTTTTTCTGTCTTTCTCTTTTTCCTCCTCTCTCTGTCTTTCCCCTGTTCTGGTTTCTTTTCCTCTTGCAGAATCGCATGCACGAGTCTCTTATGCTGTTCGATTCCATCTGTAACAACAAATTCTTCATTGACACTTCCATCATTCTCTTCCTCAACAAGAAAGACCTGTTCGCTGAAAAGATCAAGAAATCTCCCCTGAGTATCTGTTTCCCTGAATACACAGGTAAGACTGTTATGATGCACAGGCTAGTCTACAGTGCATATGTTAAGTCTTCTAACACTGTGGCACCAGGCTAACGTTTGTGATTGATTAGGGCAGATTGTCATTAGATTGGATTCGCATAAACGGTACACTCAGGCCATTCTTCATTTTGATGTCACTGTGAGATGAGAGGTAAAGGATGGAGAGCGGTAGCTGGATCTTGCATGTGCAGTCATGGGTGAAAGCTGGGCACAGAGGGATGTCTGCGGCTCTGTCAAATTCTTTTTCGACAAGATACAATTGACTGCCTGTGTTAGAGCCCTTCCTGCTTTGCAGCAGCCCTCATTGTTACTTTCCACTTGCCTTTTAAACACTGGAGTCATAACCGAAAAGGGGTTTGGACATTACTTCATTGCAGATCAAATGTTAAATTCTTCAAAAAAAATACACTATTGAAGAAGAACAGTTTTATTGAGTTTTATGAATAACTATAAATTAGCAAGTAGATGTTTACTTTATTGATGTATTTTTCTAAATTAATTAATAGGATTACAATGTATATAATTATATAGTTTAGTAGAATTATAATGCACTTTATCATTTAATTAGAATCTTAAGTAAAAATTAAGTTCAATTTCTTGATATATTGTTAAAAGTCAAAGGTGCAGAAGGTGATTGTCTTCAGAAACATTTTTTGTTGTGCTGGATCAGAGTAGTCTCTTCACATTCCAATTGTTATGATTAAAATAAATGTATTTAAATGTACTTTTATATTCTGGATATCAGGCATAAGACTAAAAAATGTTCATCCAATAAAAAATTGTCAGACCAATAATTCCCTATATTACCTATATTGTTTACCATGCTACTTTGAATATTCGATCTGAAATTGCATGAAAGTATGGCTAAGCACAAGGCTTGCTAAGCATAGACGCTTTAGGACAATGCGCGTGAGGGAGAGAGATCCTTTCATGCAAGAAATATTGCACATTATGACAAGTTTTGCCTGCTACACAACTGAACAAGTGCTAGATATATAAGGGTTGTCACGATACTGGAATTCGGTACCAATCAATACTGAAATTTTTAAAAACGTCCATTTCTCACTAACATTTGAGCATTTCAGGAGGCGTGGCTCTGAACGATGTGGGAGGGACTGTGTTTTCAAAGCTATCATGCTAATGCATAGCATTTTGCCAGATCACCTTTTGCACCTTTAAAACAAATGTTTGCACAATTACAATATACAATTAAAGTCAGAATTATTAGGCCCCCTTTGAATTAGTTTTTCTTTTTTAAATATTTCCCAAATGATTTTTAAAAGAGCAAGGATATTTTCACAGTATGTCTGATAATATTTTTTTCTTCTGTAGAAAGTCTAATTTGTTTTATTTCGGCTAGAATAAAAGCAGTTTTTAATTTTTTTAAACCCTTTTTGAGGACAAAATTATCAGCCCCTGTTAAGCTAATTTGTTTTTCAATTGTCTCCAGAACAAACCATTTTTATACAATAACTTGCCTAATTGCCCTTACCTGCCTAGTTAGCCTAATTAACCTAGTTAAGCCTTTAAATGACACTTTAAGCTGTATAGAAGTGTCTGGAAAAATATCTAGTAAAATATTATTTACTGTCATCATGGCAAAGATAAATTCATCAGTTATTAGAAATCATTTATTAAAATATTATGTTTAGAAATGTATTGAAAATTTTTTTCTCCATGTTAAACAGAAATTGGGGAAAAAATAAACAGTGGGGCTAATAATTCTGAATTTAACTGTATGTAATTAAATATGTAGATATTTTAATCTAATTTTATTATGTAATTGAAATATTACAAATAATAAAAAATAAATTAATAAACTTTATTTACAATATACTGTTTTTTTTTTTAATCTTGCTGTATTGCTTAAAATTAAGACATGTATTTGAAGAACTATATTATATATAATAAATTCTAAATTTTATCAGTAATTATAAGAATAAACATAGTTTTAATATGACTTATTTGATATAAATTGAAAATGTAAAAACTAGGACAGCTTTTTAGACAACTATAGTATGTGTATATGGAAATTAAATGAAAATACATTTTAAAATATATTTTTCATTATTTTATTTTATATTTTTTTAGTTATTAAATATAAATAAATCTAATTAATTTAAATATTTGATTACATACAATTCTTACCATTTTGCTATGTATATTGCTCAAAATTAAAACAAGCATTTGAACAGTGACTACGTTTACATGGACATCAGTAATCAAATGATTTGCCTTAATCTGAATAAGACAAGAATATGATTAAGGTGTTTACATGAGTTGCTTTTTGAATGTTCCTTTCATGATCCCGTTTTACATGTTATAGCACATAATTCCATTAAAATAATTGTGTCACCATAATATCCACATTTCCTCCGGAGTTTCATGTAACTTCGGGTGTTTCATTTTTTATTTGTTGGCTTTAACTGCAGTTTGGCAAACAAGATATTAAATGCAAATTTGATCCGCTAGAAAAGTGATGTTTTACTCAAATTTGATACTGCACATCGAATGGGGGAAAAAACTCCACATTTTGTCATGTAGGTGCAGAGAATAGTGTCAAACCGCTGTGTGTGTAGATTGTCCTGTCTATACACCCTACACGATGGTAAAAGTTTGATTGCAGTGTTTACATGTCTGTACTGCTACTAAAATCGGCATGATCCGCATATTTTAATTTGGTTTCTATTTAGTTCTATTATGACTTTAGTTTAATTAAGGTAATCGAATTGCTGTTTACATGGTAGACTCCTAATCAGAGTACTGTCTTAATTATATTAAAATCTAGTTATTGTGTTGTATTATTACCATGTAAACGTGTAATTTGAATTAAATATGCAAGGTAATAATTTTTAAACATTTAAATAATAATAACCAAACATTTATGTTCTACAAAATCTTCAAAACTGTGTTCTATAGATGTTCACACACACAGCACCTTTTACATGTGACACTCACTTCATAAGATAAAGTTTTCAGAAATGCAAAGAGAGGACATTAGATGGGAAGAGACATTTCTGAATGTCAGAGGTCACAGGGGTCATCTGAAATATTGGGCTAATGAGCATCTAGAGCGATGATCACAAAGGTGATTTGAAGATCAGACTACCATTTCCATGGCCCCGTAATTTGGGCAAAATGTCTTTCCACAAATTCATTTGATCTCTTTATTCCTCCGCATGCAGGTCCAAACACCTACGACGATGCAGCCGCTTACATCCAAGCACAATTTGAAAGCAAGAACCGCTCGCCTAATAAGGAGATCTACTGTCACATGACCTGCGCCACGGATACAGGAAACATCCAGGTGGTGTTCGATGCTGTGACCGACATCATCATCGCCAACAACCTGCGAGGCTGCGGCTTGTACTGAGGCCCGTCCCGTTCCTCTCCAGCCACTTCTTTGGAAATGATTATTATTGAAAATGCAAGTTGGTAAATAATGATAACGATAATTTTAAAAATAGGCATATACAAATATATAAATATATTATATATATATATATGAAATGTTTTTAGTTTGTCTTTCAAAGAGCTGCCAACAGAACTGATTTCTTATAGAAACCCAGCCTTTATGGTTTTAGAACAAAGTTGGGACCTTTTTTTTGTGCGTGTCGTACGTTTCGTTCTCCCCTGTTTTCCACCGTGTCTTTCTCGTTTGAACTAAACAACCCTCATTTTTTTGTTTTGATAAATGTCTCTCTTTTACTATTTTTTTATGTTTTGTGTCATTGTATGTATATTTATTACACGGATATCAGTCAGGGGGGATGACCTGTACATGTTTGCCTGGCTACTGAATTTACTTACGCGACAATAGCTAAAATTCACGAGCACTACGGTTCAAGTCAGTTGTAGCGTGTGCCCCCGTCTCTGGATTTTTAATCACCGTAGTACCATTCGACATATCGTAGAGAATGGAAAACACCCAGGATCACTTCTTAACGTCTCAACCCATCCCCGTCACTTCCGTAGGTCAGATCTCTGGCGAGAAAGAGGTCCCTGGGACACTCGACGCCAGTCCAGTGATCGCAAGTGTCATGTCAGTGCCAACCTTCTGAGAATGACGTGTCTGGGAATAGTACTAGAAACACTAGGTCACTGTTATGAGAACTTATTAACATTTGTCTTGTAAGGAACTTTTACTTTTGTATTGTTGTTGATTAATTTATTAATTTATTTATTGATCATCTATCCCACACACTTCCTTTGTACTTACTACACCTCGTCCATTCTTCTACCTCTCGTCCGCTGTCCCCCTTCCCATTCCTTCTCTTTCCCTGTTTTAGTTGGCTGGGTAATGGAGTCCCCGTCACTGATAGCATGACCCCTTCTTCAGCCTTTGTATAAAGAAACAGCTAACTGCTTCACATAGTGCAAAACGAAAAAAGAAAACTCGAAATAAAAAGAACAAAAAAATAAAAAAAACATGGGAAAAAAAGACGGATGGCATCGTGTGGGTGGGGTTTCGGGGGTGGGCGGGTAGATGTGGGGCTCAGGGAGATGATGTGGAGGCTTGCAGACATGAAAGTCACTGGGCTGTCAGTCTTATAGAAAGCTGTAGATCCTCCAGTTCTAGAGTCGAGTAGAAAAAATTGAGAAAAAACAAACAAAAAAAAAAGACTAAAAAAATAAGAATGACAATAATAACAAACGATGATGAAGACGATGATGATGATAATAACAGTACCAATATCAATGATTATTCTGTAATATTATTAAAGGTATATTTCTTGTGCTTTGTAGCTACAGAACTTTTTCCCCCCTCTCTCCCCCTTTTTTTAAAAAAAGAATTTTGCAAGGGTTCCTGTGATCCACTCTTGAACCGTTCTTACTGACTTACCCATGTTGATGTTGATGAACTGTACCGATTCTTTTTGCCTGTTCGCCCTGCATTGCAATGTCTTTACTTAGCCTGAATTACAGTATATGTATTGATTTATTTGATTTTATTTGTTTTATTTTCTGTTTTTGTTTTGAACGAACCACTTTTTGGAGGTGTGGCTCCGCCCCCGGTGCTGGAGAGGGCGGAGCTACGCACTGCTGTACAGATTCATGCGCTTTCTCTTGGTTTTTTGAGAATTGTACTCAAACACCTTCCAGGTCTGCATAGAAAAGCACAGCTCTCACCTATCACACGTAGATTTGGAAAGATGTATCTCTCCTCCCTCTCTGCCTTCTCGGTTTGAAATTCAAGAAAAAGAGAAAAAAAAACAATTACCTTCACCACCGTTGATTTGGATTCTCCTTCCCTTTTTCGTTTCTTTTTTAAACCTTTCTTTTTCTCTCCAAGTGAATGCTTTTGTGCTGCTTTTTCTCCCTCTTCTTTAGTGAATGGTTGTTCTTTCATGTGGGATGTTCGTGCTGGAAAACCAATCGAATGTAGTGTTTACATTAAAAGCCACAGTTTTCATGACTACAACCTGGACCTTTTCGCTTCTGATTGTTTTTCATTCCTGCTTTGTTGGTTATGTATTTTACTTGATAATGAATGACGCATACAAAATGGCGTTTAAATGATTAGTTTCTTACAGAATGAAAAGTATCGTTTGCTCTTTCGAAATCCCAGAGAAATTTTTATTAGAAAACAAAATAAGCAGTTTTTAACCAAACCTGATTTTTGTTCCTCCTTTAAAAGTATTTTTCAGCATAACTCCCACGGCTCAAAACAATCATAAAGAAATCAAAAATAAGTCTGTATGTCTTCTGAAAAAAGATATTATTATTTTAAATGACTAACAGGTTTAATTTAGATTTTTCTCACATATAAGATTCACATTTGATCATCTAATCATTTTATAATATAATATTAACCGTTGATACTGATTGTGGCATGTCACATGACATGATCGAGCTTCCTCAAGAACCAATTAGATTTGCTCTCTTGCATCAAGCAGATGTGGTTGGTCCCAGCACAACATCAAAAAACGTTAATATTAGGTTAGATTTAGGTTGTGACGTCAGGTGACCAAAATTCAATGCTAGCCAGCATCTAAGGACAACGTTTTTTTAACGTTCAATAATGACGTCAAAAGACAATGATATGTGGTTGATTTTAGGTTGTGTTGGAAAGTTATCAAAATCCAATGTCGAACCAACATCTTAAACTAACGTCATATTGACGTCAAATACTGACATTTATTCGTCATGTTTGGCAACCAAAATTCAACATCTGATAGACATCATAACATCCACTAGGCATGGGGTGATAACGGTGTTCACGGTATACCACGGTTTGGAAAAGTCAACGTTTTAAAACCACCAAAATGTTGAGCTATGCCATTCCTACAGTATATGTAACATTTTTTTATGTTTTGTTTTAAGTTTTTTAGAACAACAGTATCTCCAACAGAAATCTCCAAAGAGGCCATTTTAAATTGTAATTAAATCTGTGTTTTTGAAACTATTTATTACTTTAATTATTTAACTTGATAATCTTTATTTTGCGAACCTATTTTAAAAGTTTCTCAAAATAAAACACATTGTGTTCAAATCAGAAACAAGTTTTTGTTTTTTTATTCAGACGTTTAAAAATGTTTATTTTTAAAGTCCACACCATGTCAAGCTAACATCCTTAGACGTTGATAATTGGTTGGTTTTAGGTTGGACGTTGGACAATGACGCCGGTCTGACGTTGGGTTCAGCTGTCAACCCGATTTTCATAATGCAATGTCCCCACGACGTTGGTATACAATGTCAATCTGACGTTATGTTGTCGTCCTGTGCCTACTGGGGTCTTCTGTTAAAGTATGTATCAATAAAAGTCTATATTGAATGTATTTATTTATTTTTAACAGACTTTAATTTAACAGCTTGGTTCATAGAGTTTTATTTCTTTACAAATGCATAATTTGTGCAAGTAATTAGACTTAAAATGGAGAGACAGAAATATCTCAGATTTGATCGCAAATTCATCTGTATTTGCATTGAGAAGATGTACAAACAGTTCTACATTTGGAACTACGTGAGGATGAGAAAAAGATAACGTTTATTTTGAACAGTTTTATTTTGTGATTAATACAGATCAGTCAGTGCTGGAACGAATGGATTAAAGGATGTCTTAAGCCAAATGAAATGGTTTACAGTGAGGTTCTGTTAGTTCATGTATTTACTGAAATAAACAAACAATGACAAATACATTTATTACAATATTCATTAATCTTTGTTGAAATAATTTGGATGTTCGTTATCATTAACTAATGCTAACAAGCACAATGTTGGATTTTAATAATGCATAAGTAAATGTAGAACTATAATTTAAAAATGCTGTATCAGTATTGTTTCTTTTAAGTTTCAGTAAATACATTAATGAACATTGACTAGTGGAACCTTATTGTAAAAGATGGAAAAATTAACTTATTAATCCAATACTAAATGCACAGAAAGACTGGTTAAATATAACATGATCTGTTTTAATTCAGCAGAAAATATTGCAACCTTTTAGCAATGTGTGCTGTCTTTACAATAAACAAAGTTGCCAATGCTATAGTATGCTATATAGGGTACTTGGAGGAAGTGCTGTTGAATCCTATGGGAAATAATTATGTCTCTGTGCTTCTTCAGCCAGACGGCTATGGAGAGAGAAGAAAGAGATGCTCCGTCACTATGTCTCAGCTTCAAAAGAGGAAGTGCCACTTTATGGCAGTCTGATTGGATGATAATTGCAATGAGAGCTGTACATATGGAGAGGGAGAGAGAGATGGAGGGAGAGAAAGAGAGATAAAGTGAGAGGAAGAGGTGTGTGATAAGAGGACGAAATGCAGACTATGATGGGAAACTGCAGTGGTAATTGGTATCGACTCTTGTCCACCAAATGTTTATATATAGCTACAGTGGACTAGGACTTTTTCCTCAGTAATACAACTTTTTATAGACTAGAATGTCCTGTTCAATTTAAAGTAGTTTTTTTTTTAAATCCTGATTTAGAAGATCCCCACCAAAACATTTATCAGTGTAAAAATACTTTATAGGCTACCAAAAATCTTGTCAGACATTTTTAGCAGCTTGATAACTTTCATTTTGATAATAAATAGGCAAATTGCCTCTAGCCTATCAACATTTTAATTTATTGTGCTGCTCCGCTGCAAGGATTCCTGTTGACAAAAGAAGCTTAATCCATTACATTTTTAGACTTGTCTGCCTTGTTAGCCTTAACATCAGTCGTCAGTGGCAAGTTGATTGAGATGGCCAATCACATTAAAGTGGGTGAAGTTTACATTCTTCAAGCAAAAATTTAAACAAAAATCAACTGAGGGAGTGATGCTGAAAGAGTGAACAGTGAGGTAAGATTGAAGTAGCTCAACTTTTAATATATGGCAACTGTTTTAAATTAACGACAATTTCCCCATTTTTATTGTACTCTTCTAATATATATATATATATATATATATATATATATATATATATATATATATATATATATATATTAGTGCTTGTTATAAAATATGGATCTGTGCACTTTATTATTTTTGTAAAAATAAATTAGAGTAGGGGGCAAAAGTACTGTTTGAAAGGGTCTAGTGATACGGCTTATTCAGTGGAAGGGATTGGGAGGCTATGATGGGTAAGGGCTGATGGGAGGAATTTGGTTTGGGGTTTTAATTAACCATGGAGAGTCAGGACCTCTGTTTAATGTCTCACTCAAAAGATGGTGCTCACTGTCAGTATAGTGTCCCGATCACTATACTGGGGCATTAGGACTCACACAGACTACAGGATGAGCACCCTCTGCACCACTTCAAACAGCAACCTAGCACACTGGGGTTACACCCCTACTCTTTTATTGAGAGTTTAGAATTTTTAATAACCAAAAAGAGTCGGGACCTCGATTTAATGTTTAACCTGAAAGATGGTGCTCACTGAAAATATAGTGTCCTAATCACTATACTGGAGCATTAGGATTCATACAAACCACAGGATGAGCACTCTCTGCTGGCCTGACTAGCACCACTTCAAACAGCAACCTAGTTTTCCCATGTGGTGTCTCATACCAGCTTGATCTCACGAGGAAACGTAAGTATTTTACGTTTTGTTAGTTTAGTGGCTAATTCGTATGAGTTCAGTCGTACGAAAATGTACAATTTTAAAAAGCAGGCGTGGCACCCACCCCTAACCCCAACCATTATTGGGCAATGAGCAAATCGTACTAAATTGTACAAATTAGATAGTAGGAAATTGTATGAATTAGCCACTTAATCAAAATGTTACGAATTGCCGTGAGATTGCGTTGCTTATACATGTACTAACCTGGTGCCGCTTCAATGGGCAACCAGTCTTGGGCTACAGGGCGATATGGCTTTAGCCATATTAGTCAGAACAATAACAGTGAATGCATACTTGAAAGTATTATTTGCAATTTTTTTTTAATAATTACTTCTTAACTAAAATAAAACCTAGAAGTTTATTCACCATTCAATTTATTCATAATGACTTATATTTAGATTTAGACATACATTTAGATATTAAAAAAGACCCTCATTATTTATATTTTGCACATTGCAAACCACCAGATTTGACCTTACTTTCAGCAAGAGTATTCTAAATGCTTACAATGCTTTCAATTGAATATGATCACTTATTCTTTTATATTAATAAGCACACAGAATAAGGGTTCATGGTACATACTGGACATTTAAGGTTATGCTGAATAACAATAGAACATTATTTTACTTTGTACAAAGCGTATTTAAAACTGAAACAATGTTGTTTCTTTACAGTTAATGTCATTGGCAGGTAACATGCTTTCTGTATATAGAAATCATTTTTCCTTTTCTTCCTTTGACCCATATATTCTGTATGGGTAGCCCATAGTTTTAGAGTGTACCAAGCTTATGGGCACCACCAACAGGACTGCTATAGAACTGCTAAATGGTCCCAGTGAAGAATTTAGTTTAATTACTTTATTACTTAAAAGATTTCAACCAAACTTTCAACATAATATGCTGCAGTCAACTGACAACTAGCTGCCACTTATTCATTTGATAACATAAACATGTAATTAACTACACTGAGAAAATGAGGTTTGTTGATTTTTAAACTAATTAATTAAAATGAGCTGACACAACACAATTTTTGAGTTTTTTTTTCCGAACAACTTAATAGTTTTATGTTCCACCCACTTAAATTTGTAAAAACAGTTAAGGTAACTTAATCGATTTTTGTTGGGACAACTTAAAAGGATTGTGTGGAAACCTGCATTTTTACAGAAAAATGCATTTGATCTTTTTCTCCCTATTCTGACATCACATTATATCTGATTATCCCTATAGCTGTACATAGTTCCCTGTGACGCTTAAACATTTCAGCCTTGTAACCACACAATGATGAGTCAGTATAGTGTCTTGGTATGCCCTAAAATTCAATCTCAGGACCTTGTCCCTGTCAGCTATTTTCCACAAACACACACACACACACACTCCAAGTTATTTA